AAGTTATTCTTCAGGATTGTTACAATAGGGATTTTTGGTTTGGAGTTTTTTTTTTTTTTGTAACAGACTCCGGCTGTATTTTTACATTTATTTATGCACAAGTTACCAAGCAAAAGACAGAGGGCTGCCACTTTATATTAAATTAAAACAAACAAACACAAACAAAAACACTTCTTTAGGGCCCATTCTTACAAAAGTGTCTGCTTGTATTAATAGTCCCATCCACTTCATGTAAGTATGGCTTTGTAGGATAAAATCCTTAGTGAAAAAACCCAAGCTAGTTCTTATACCCTAGTTCTGTAAAAACACTTAGTTCAGTGGAACTTAAGATATCCAAAAGTTTACGTAGTACTTAAATTTTTTTATGGGTCTTGGCCTTCTAAGAAAGCTGAAGATAGCGTACAATAATGTTGTTCTAAATACAGTTCAACTTTCACTCCCACAGAAAGCATCCATATGGAAATTTATACAAACAAATATGTATTTTGATGAATTATTTTGAGGCATCTGAAGTTTTTTTGCATGTGCCTTCAACCACGTTAGAAAAGAGAAACAGGACCTGCTAATCAGCACAAAACTGGAAGACAATTTAACTGCATTGTTCTGACCTTCACTCAGAAGGTATCCTGGCACACAGTATGTTTTTAATAATTGCCTCTGGAATTAGAGGAAATGCTGATGCTCAACCTCAAACAACTCCCATTTTGCAGCCTGAAAAGCTTGCCCATCTTTTCACAATTAAATATTTTACAGATGCACTCTTTATTATGTTTATGCCTGAACACTTTACTCTGTTGTGAGCCTTCATTATTTACAAGATCTGTGGCAATATTTTTTTAAACTTGGTTCATCTCTGAAGTCTTCAGCCCAGCAAACAAAAAGGAAACAACATATAATTTACCCCTTTCCCCAGCAAAAGTAATCTAGTCATCTTTATAGCTCTTCAGTGATATTTTTAAAGTCTGTAGTAAATTTACAAGCCAAATCATCATCAAGCTTAAAGGGAAAAAAAGGAATAATTGCAATGCTTTGTATCCCCATCCTCCTCACCTCTTCTGCTAGAGACTTTCAAAAGGCAAGTCTGCCCCCCCACCATACATTCTTTTATTAATCCTTTTCCTACGATCCATTTGCTGGCTGGAGAAATTATGCAAAAGTAATAAAAGTTCTAATTCAATTTCCATGTTGAGATGGATTTTTAAAAAAAAAAAAAAAATCAGAAACCATATTCTTTGTGTTTACTAAGAGATATGCACTCCAACATTTAGTGTCATGGAGCTGGAGTTAAAACCAGAAACGGTGAAGATAATTTAGCTGCATGAATGCCTGCTCTTCAGTAAAATGCTGCCAAAATTAAATAGGAATGAAACAGCACTTTGTAGTCATTGGTCGCTCAGCAGGGTTTGCGTAGTTAAAAACCTAAGTGAAAAGGGTGATTGACCTACATTGCTACTAGCTTAGCACAGCTGTACTTTCATATTTTCACTGCATCTGAGGAAGCTCATTATTTAATACAACTGAGTTACATGTAATTGTCGGTCTTTCATTTCACATTTTTAGGGCCAGATATTAATCTCAGATGTGCAGCACACATTGCCGTGCATCTGGAAATGTAGGCTACTGAACATGTAGGCACAAACAAAATAGTAAAGCTGATATGGAACCATGTACACTTTGTACCCAAAAATCAGGATGCTGCCCAAGGGTGCTTACAAACATGCAAATCAAATTAGCAGATGGAACTGGATGCAAATCCCTCACCATCCCAAAGGGTAACACTATACACTTTTCTATTTTAAGTTCTTTATGGTAGAAGTAACCTGTGATATGCACCTAGAACACCTCCACACTGCTTGTACTTCTGGTTTGAAAATAAGTAATAACCTTCCAGTTAACAACCAGTTTGATAAGTTATCGGCCCAAGGGCTGTTAACATAACAACTGGTTATTAACTGCAGTAATGATGGATTTCAAAGGGAATATTGCTCTTGCAAATGGACACGCTGCCAGTCAGAATAGAGGACAGATTGGGATAGGTTGATACATTAAGATGTCACTTCACAGTTATGGAGGATTGCGGGGGGAGGGAGGGGAGGATATTTTTTAAACAGTGTATTCCATTTTATTGTTAATGGACATGAAATTCTGGAGTAAAATGTAAGTTCCTTAAATTAAGTCTTCACTTTCTAACCCAAGAGTGTGCAAGTAGGAGACAGAAGCCTGCAGGGGAATTATACTCTGCATCTCATTTTCATGGAATATGTTATTTCTAACATTGAACCCTTTCTTCATGCAAGTGAGTCCTGTTACTGGCTAAAATAGAGTTCCCTTCTGAAGCAGCCATGCCATTTGCCCCTCTAAATCATGCAGACTGAACCTCTGATGTCATTAGAAGGAGACTCAGAAGCCTCACTGCAAGAGAATTCCCTTTAAAATATCCCTAGGGGTGAAAGGTCTTGTTGTAGGAACGACCCCTTTCTATTTTTAAAAACACTATTATTTTTAGGTTTGCGTTAGACAAATGTTTATTAGTTAAACTGATTAAAATGGGGGAAAAGAATGTCAGGTAACTCAAGTATCTATATAGGGTTGATCACAATGTGCATCTAGCAGGTACCGATATGGACAGGATGTTACAGCTTTGTTTTTGCCAGGAATTTAAATGTCACACCCAAGACAGAGGAAAGTGAGAGATGGAGAAAACATCTTTACAAACAACCCAGGACATGAATAGTTTGTGCATTTACCTGGTTACATTTTCAAAGTGGCTGCATTACTGCTTATACTATCTGAGGAACGGCTGTCTTATTGAAAGGCATAACGAACAGAGAAAGACAAGTTAATAAGTGATTTCACTCTCTTTATAGTATCATAGAAACCACATATCCTCTAGAGGGCACCACATAAATTAATAGGAAGCTAGAACAGTTTTATATGTAGCCAAGACTCCATTAATGGTTAAAATAAAGAGAAATTTTAAGAGGATAGTTTGAAGCTGTAATCTAGCCCTAATCTGATCATTAATACAAAGTAATTTATTCTTCATATTCATATCAAGTAGGTTACTAAATATGAAAGCTTATTTGCCTACAAAGCTAGAGAACATTTAAACTAGCTTCTACATTAGCATTAAAATGAAGATCACTTTTATAGGTTCACTGCATAACCAAGTAGATAAGACGCAATGAGGCAAATGACTATCTGCAATTACCTTAAGTGCATCAGTTCGAAATTTAGAGTAAATACCAAGTTTGAGTCAAGACACTCACAAGTATCTTGAAAAAATATGCACCAGAACTGGAATCTGAGGAATCTACAGCTATGTTGGAAATATTTAAAACCCAACAGCAACAGGATTTCTTTCACCTGTTGGTTGTAGTTCGACTGATCTGAAAACAAATACTATGAACAGCTAATATATGAAAGGTAAATACTCATTTTGCATACAGTCAAATTATAGTTGGGGGGGAAAATGACCATGTAGAAGCCTGGCCCCATCTTGCTTCCATGTCAGGTCACTCCATCTTTGATTTCCATTTGTTAGTAAACCAAGCTTTTACTCCTGCTCACCTGCAGAGCCAATGCAGCAGCCATCATGGAAGATAATGTCTTACATTCTGCCACCTTTATCATTTTTTACTGGCGAAAAGTAGTAGCTCAGATCCCCTTCCTTTTAAGTTTGTAGTCATAAACAAGGGAGTTAATTACACATGTTCTTAAACTGTTGTTACCAGCTTATTGTAGCAAGTGACCCTTTCCAGAAACTGCTTCACTAGTTACTCTGATGGCAGCTCCACCACAACCATCTTGGGGTCCCATTCTATGATACACTGCTTGGTACTCACTTGGGTAGATGCTACCTGTAGGGTTGCCCGGTATGCCAAACTATCCAAGCTTTCATTTAAAGCATCCCAGCTAGTACTGCAGGTCAGTATCAACTTGAATAAGAGGGACAAAGCAGCAGCAGCACAACTGCATTTCCCTTCCCAGAGATCTATGGGCAGCCTGTAAAAGTATTAGCGACTGGTATCAGTAGAACTATGCTATTGTACCATATGTTTATTTTTTTCACCATAGTAGTATTCAAGTACCTATACACCCATAGGATTTTAGTATTTGGTAACTGCACCTCTCAAAATACTATAGACAGTGGCTCCAAATTTATATCACCACATATACCCCTATACTTGTGTAGTGGTACATACCCCTTCAGTACCAACTACCACTAACTTATTTAATGCCAGTGCCATCGTGATTCCAGTCAGTACCGTGTCCTAATGTGCTAGCAACTGCTTTTTTAAAAATTCTAATAATTATAGCATGCAATAGATTTTGGACATATCTACTGGAGAATTTGAGTCTACAGTCTCTTAATGGAAAAGCAGTAAAGGACTACCTAAGCTAAGGACTGGCAGCAGACTATGGAGATGATTCCAACTAGTGGACTAGAAATGAACAGTATTGACCTGAAAAAACCAAAGTTATTCAGCACATGGAAATAAATTGGTGAGCTCAGGTCAGTTTTTAGTGAATAAGTGGCCACATTCCTCAACACTATTAGCAAAAATGATGCACTTTGGCCATCTTAGAGGCTAAAGTCTTATACAAGCTACTAATTTATGAAAACAGTTTATCAGAACTTGAAGTCACATTTTAAAGTGTTTTGTTTGGACCATTACTGTAGAACATGGCAATGCCTCTGTAGAGGGCCAAGAGGATACCTTCATGGCTGGGGTAGAAGCACACCAGTGTGGGAAACCTACAGTACTTATGCTGCGTGTGCTCTCCTTGATCTCTGAATAGGGGACTTCAGTCTAAGGCTGTCATCTATGAACACTCCTATTCCCTCTGTTCCCCACACTTTCCCCAATTAAAATAGCATGAAGTTTAGACATGCCCAATACACAGCATTGTATTGTTTCCTATGCAGCAAGACCTCGAAACTAACAGGACTGCAGGCCTACAATATTTACATGCTAAATAACAAAGACAACTCCTACCTCAGATAGTCTCTGCGACAAAGGATAAGGTTGGCTTTGGTGTACAAGGTGGAGCCCACCTCCCCCAAACGACAGTCACAGCAGGCACATTTCAGGCAGTCCTCATGCCAGTATTTGTCCAGGGCCTTCAGAAGATACCTGTCCTTGATCTTACGGTTGCAGCCAGCACAACCTTTCGGCTTGGTGTCTGGCTGGACTGAGAGCATTTGTATACCTGAAACAAACATACACATGCATGAGGTGTTTAAACTGCTCACATCAAATTGCCAACAGCATTAAGATTCATTTCCTCCAACAGGCTGGTGGGAATTTCTGCAGGGTTCTTTGCCTCTTCTCTAACATCTCTGCCTTCTCTGTTACTTGGAAAAAAGAGAACATTTTAGTTACGGGACTTTTTTTTTTTTTTTTTTTTATATCATCTGATTTTGACTGAAGCTTTGAATTTAACAGCAAAATATCCAACCAAGTTCATATTAAGGAAGAGCCCCAAAGATCCTGAACTTTGATACCCCTGGTGCCAAATACAAGTGTTAAGCAGGCCTTACACCAGTGATTTTTAACCAGGGTGCAGCAGCAGCTTAGAGTGCTTCAAGAGCCTTTCAAGGGTGCCAAGCAATGTTAGCCCTGTTAGGTGTGCAAAGATCATTCACAAGATAAACCCAGAGATTTCAAATAGTATTCAAAACATTCTGCCCGGTTGTGATCTTTTTGAGGTGTTTGCAACAGAGATATTCTATTATTTTTTCTGTAGTCAAAAAGCTGGCATTTTCTAAAGGGAGTCTCACATTAAGTGAGTAGTGCCTTGAGTCTAAAAAGGTTGAGAACCACTGCCTTACACCCTTGCAAGATACAAAAACCTTTCCTTTTCACAGGTGGGAAGACTGAAGACAGAAGATGTACAAAACAAAAACAAATAAATATGCTTAGCCTTCAGGATCTTTCATTTTCAATGTGATCATTAGCCATATTATTCTGTAGCCAAGCAGAAGGGAAGGCAGGGTGGCTTCTTGGAGACTAACGGGACCATTATTTTAGATTAAATTTTATCTAAGATGACACCCTGCCTCACCTCCTGCCCATTTTCAATGTGAGCACCTTTAAATCTAAGTGCTTACATGGGAGATCAACTCTAGCGAATTATTTGCCCCTGCACCAATCAAGTGGCAATGCTGGCTAATGTACCAAGAGCATCTACCTCTCTCGACTCCCACTAACCAGTTCTAGCCAATACATAATACTGTTAACATGGGTTTGATAAATTAACTAAATTAATTGTTATACCTCTTTAGATATAGCAGTAGAAACCTCCCAATATAGGTATCAGCCATTCAACTTCTGAAATTGAGATGGGAAAGTTGGCAAGGAAAAATAAGAGTCATCTTATATAGATTATTTCAGACCAAAGGACCCCTTTAAAGGATTAGCACCTGAATTATACTAGTTGTTCAGCATTGCAAGGAAAAGGAGGGCAGGAAAGGGGGTAGAAATCACTGCATGAAAGAGCTTGCAGGATATTCATTTGTATCTCTCATCTTCAGAGCAACCGCACTATCAGTAGCTTAGAGTCCCCCCACTTTTTAAATACCTAACAGGACTACATTACTGGTCTTCCTACTTGTATTATATCAAGCAGCATGCTTTTGCTCAGTGTTTCAGGTAACCTGATGAAAGCAGGGGGGGTTGTTTTGTTTTTAAACAATTTATGTCCCTAAATATGAATCTAATATTAAAACACTCAAAATCCAATGAGAATTTTTTTGACAAAACACAACTATCCCACATCCAAATCCTCCCTCCTCTAGCTCTTCAGGAAGAGGCTGGGAAAAATAGATGGACCTGAAGGTCAGATACAAACTTTACTGTCGTCCACTGCTCCGATTCCAGAGTCAGGGCCTCTTCACCAAAAGTGCTCTACTACCTCTAGTTAAAAATTTGGAACTGTAACATTTCCAGTGAAGCTCAACTGGTGTGATAGGACACCAGGAAGGAGAATGCAAGTCTCCACAGATAAAAGATTGAGCTCATGAGCAGAACAAAGTCAAGGGTAGCCTTTGCAACAGAGGTGAAAGCTGCAGAAGCGTGTAACACCGAAGGAAAAAAAATGGCTGAATTTTGCACCAGCTGGTTCTTCCAAGTGGTCTTTAAACATAGATAGAGCTGCATGCAGTGGAACTCACTGAATTACTGCAGTCCGCATAGATTCAGATCCAGTTAAGAGGCTTCCAGGGGTTAAGGGGAGCAACTCAAGTCTTGCTTAAGAAGTTCAGTTGTCACTGAAGCATGCATAGCAATTCCCTTTTTTATTGTGGCACGCAGTTAAAACAGTCCATTTCCCTAACACACAAACTCCATTTGTGCACGGTGGAGTTATGCTTTCTTTTGTTAATTTAAAGATTTCATTACATACAAAATATTCTTAATCATGTTAATGCAAATGAACCTTAAGTACATCAGCATTAAACTGAGAGATGTCTAAAAATTCATAGAACTAGAGTAGCAATTTTATTTTTCTATTGGTAAGGACACATACAGCCCCATCACTTATGCATAATAAGTCAGTGAAATAAGTCCCCAACTGAGGTACAGACATATCCCCATTTTGTAAGTGCCAAACTAAAGGGAGAGGTTAAAGTGACCCACTCAAGAAGTCTGCAGCATGGCTAGAAATAACTGTAATAGCCAGGTTCAAACTAGCCCCTTAAACACAAGGCTACAGGCTATGGCCAGGTCTACATTACGCAGTTCTGCCTTCATAGCTGTTAGGCCCAACATGTGGAAAACGCTACACTCTCATGCTGTAGCTCTGGGGCAAATGAAGCTTTGTTGACAGAGTGCTATCAACAATTTTGTTCATATTCAGGGTATGCTGCATGGCTATACCTTCTAAAAAGCTCCCCTCAGCATACTCTACATCTACGTTATGGGTCTCTGCTAGCATAGCTATAGCCGTGGAGACACTGCTATATAGACAAGACCTATCCACTCCATACAGCAGCTTTCATTTCTAAGTGCTCTGTGAGCTGCACACACAGATCTATGAAATAGCCATTAATGGGGCAGGAAAGTGAAGAATGGGAGCCAATGTGAGCCCCGGCAGAATGCCCTGGGAAAGTTATTGCTAGGGACACTGGAGAAAAAATGCCCTATGGGAAATCAACTGCATCTTTAGTACTTATACACAGCAAAAACAAACCTTGTTTTTTTTGTTTTTTAAAGTTTCCATGCATTTTCCTCCGTTATAAACATTTGTTAAATGGCAACAGCATGATAGGTTTTGTACAAAACCAAGACAGTCCCTGAACCACATATACAGTGCAAACAAATAAAGTAGACAAGATATAAAACTTATGTCAACTTCTTGGAACTCAGTTCAGAAGGATGAAGGACTGCGCTAGGACTTTAATCCTTAGCTTGAGGGAATCCACGATAAACCAGAAGCTAATATGGTTACAGCTTTAAAAAATAAAATAAAGACTTAAATGTAAAAAATTTGCCACTTGATAAGCAAACAAAGTAGAGAACGCAGGCTGACGGTCTCTGATCCTAGCTGATCAAACTAGACAACAAGTGTCCTGCTGTACTCTGAAGTGAAGCTACAATGGTGATGCAAGGTTAAATAAATATTTTTTTAAAATCTGAGAACTGAAATAATCAAGCGTCGTGATTCTTAAAGCATGTGCTGCCAATCTGAAATCATCATGTTATAAGTAAGGCTGATGCCTGCACAAATCCTCCAACTCGTGGGGGGGGAATACCTAGGCACAACATCTGACACCACTTTATCACATCCTTGTGTAGAAAATATCAAGGTTCTTAAATTTTATTCATTGTTGCCAAACCATTTCTCAGCCAGGACAGCAGACCCCAACCTACAGACAACTAAGTCTGTTTTCTGGGGCTTGTGGAAAAGAGGTGGTTTGGACACACCCAACAGACATTCTTTTCAAATTAGGAACTCAACCTGCAGTGCCTCTTAGAGGGAAGAGGTTTTTGATATGAACCAAATTTAGAAGCCTTCTTCTCCATTACTTGGAAGGAAACCACTTCCCTTTTTGTGAAAATTAATTTAATATAGACAGTATTTTACAATATGGAGCAAGAATCACTTAAGCTTTCTACAGAAGAGTCTCTGCTCTCTTCCCTGTTCCCACATCTCCCAAGACAGATGGCAGTTCTTCCACATCTCTACTGCAAGTGTAAAATATTCCCTCCCTCTTTTTCCTGTGGTCCCAAACAATTTCAATCCAATGATAATTAAAGCAGAGGGACGTTGTCACATGGGCAATGTTAATGCATATTTATATTACAAACGCGCTTCTCTTTAATGATCCTACGGGATACCTATACCAAGTATACAGTCTATGTAGCCATTTGCAAATGTGTAGCCATTTTTAATATGATGTATTAGCTGGAAATAGAGTACCTACAACTTGGGGGTGAGCCAGCTCTTCACAGACCACTGTTTTGGGTACTGCTATTCTAAAAACCAGCTGGGAAGGACTTAAGACAGACAGCATCTAGAAAACTTGCCCACATGTTTCCAGCTGAACTGTAGGGAAGGCAGCACTAATCTCCCAGGATGAAGGTACTGCCTGTGTAGCTCTTCCAAACAGCAAGCAGGACACCCAGTCAGTCCAAATCAAGCTTAGGGTTTCCCTA